GGTGGGGGGAGAAGCCAGGGCCGGGGCCGGGAGCTCTTGGCAGCGTCCGTCTCAGCCCTTGTCTTCGCTAGGAGGTGGTTAGAGCATGACGTGGCGGGGAGGAGTGAGCGACCGTGGCGCCGGGGAGAGGGGACCCCGGCCTGCTGTTGCTTGTGGTGACAGCCCCCAGGACCAGCTGGCAGCCACATGCCGGAGACCACGACCCGTCCTTGGCCGCAGTCAGCTGACTCTGCTCGTTACAGTCACGCTCCAATGGGGCACAGCCTGTGGGATGACCCCGCAGGAGAACTGGGTGTGCAGAATGGGGACGGCTGCGTGGAACAGACCAACCCGCGGGCGGGAGCACAATGACCCATGCCCGAGGGGCCAGCGGGGGAGCCCCCTGCAGCCAGTGACCCTGCTGACGCCATCTGCGGGGGCTGAGACCTCTCCGCTTGTCTCTCCGGCAGGGGGTGCAGTCCGTGGTGGAGCAGTTTGCGGTGCCCAGGCAGCAAATGATCAGCGACCTGGACAGTGAGTGTCTGGCCACTGGCTCTTCTGGGCCAGAGCTGCCCCCCTTCTCCCTGGGAGACTGGGGGGAGAGAGCGGCTCCGCGATTGACCCTGGGTCCCAGGCCTCCCCTCGGCGCAGTTCTCACGGGTTTCTCTGCACGGCCCTTACACCATCCATGGCAAAGCTCCCGGGCATTTGGCGGGGAGCAGAGTCGAATCATTCAGCCCCGGTTGTATCCACTGGATACGCAGCGTCCGGCCTCCCTGGTCACCTGGCGCTCGTGGCAGAACCCTTCCCCTGCCCCCACTGAACCAGATTTCCCTCAGCACTTGCCCTGCAACAGGAAAATCCCCACTGGACCACACAGCAGCCTCCCGTCGGAGCGGCCAGACTGGCTCACACTGGGTCCATCAAGCCCAGATCCCGTCTGCCGACAGCGGCCAATGCCCAGAGGGAGTGAGCAGAACAGGCAGTCACCAAGGGATCCCTCCCCCGTCACCCAGCCCCTGACAAACAGAGACTAGGGTCCTGGCTAATAAGTACTGATGGACCCGTCTGCTATGCATTGATCTAGTTCTTTCTTCAACCCTGTTAAAGTCCTGGTCTTCACAGCCTCCCCTGGCAAGGAGTTCCACAGGTTGAAATGAGAAGGAGCGATTTCTCAGCAGGGCTGCTTTAACCCCGCCCCAAGTGCTTCTGGGCATCTCCTTGGCCCTCACCCCAGCCTGTGTGGAGCTGGGAGTGGTTCTTCCTTACCAGGTCAAGCCAGCCGAGGCGGTCCAGTCTCTGGAGAGATGTTGAGCAGGCCTGGGTGGATGTGGGGTCTTGAGAGCCAGGAGAGGGTCCCCAAGGTTGGCCGCCGGGGAGAGGAGAAGGTGGAGACGAGGCCAGCCCCTGCTCTCAGTCGCCGGCACAACGGCATGGAAGTCGGTGAAGCTGGCGTGGCACCACGTGCCGGCTTTGCGTGTGTTAGTGAGGGGCAGCGCCTCGGAATGGCTACGGCCCACGGGGGCTACGAGACACGCCGCGTCCGTACGCTCAGGGCCGGGGCTGACCAGGCTGGGCTCCCGGACCCCGATTCCAGCGCCTACGCCACGGGGCCTGCCCGCAGCGTGTGGCGTACTCGCCCGTGGCGGGCACGTAGGGCCGTTGGGTGCGTTTCAGGCATCAGCCGCAGCCTCGGCCTCTCGGTCCATTCGCTGCTGAAGGAGCAGGTGCACTCAGCGCTGGAGGCCGTGCAGGGCAGAGCCCAAGGTAAGACGGAGGCTTGGCTTCTCCTGCGGGACGACCTGTCCCCCTTGGCGTCAGAAACGAAAGGGGCTGACTCCAGACCAGGGGAGCCTTCTCATGCCAGGCTAGGGTGGGGAAGGGTCCATCCCTGCCCCACACTGGGCAGGGGCTGGCCCCCCATCTCACCCCTCACCTGTGACCCAGGGTGCCTGTGGCAGCCCTCACTGAAAATGCCAAGGGACAGTAGACCCCCCCACCCCCTCGCAACCCTGGTGGTTAACACTGAAGTGAAATCACCGCCCAGTCTCAGACTGGCTCCTGATTCCCCCATGCTGGTTACTGGGAAGCTGAAAACAGAAACCCCCCAGCCTCCTTCACTGCCTGCCAGCTCCCTGGCTCCCCGTCAGCACCGAGGTCCAGTACAGCGAGAAGTGGTTTCAAAACTCAGCTCACGTCCACAGCACGTCCTTCTGCCCAGCGGGTCGGCCACGTTCCCAGCTCACTGCTCGTTCGGATCGTGCCCAAAATGCCACCGGCCAGCCAATGCGTTAGGGGCTAACACGCGAGGTTTATTGTAAAGAAAAAAGTACAAGAGGAGCCTTGTTAAATGGCAAAGCGCTCGGCTACCTACAGAGACGCCAGAGTCCTGAACTGGTGAGTCTGCGGCCTGGGGAAGTGGATGGGTCCGTCCGTCCTTCCTTCAGAGCTTCAGTCTGTAGGAACGTTCGTCCAGCGGCAGGGAGCAGGAAGGGAGACAAAGTGAATATAAACGGCAGCCGCATCTTCTCCATTTTGCCATGGGGCTGCTACTTGCTGGCTATGTCTACACTGGCGGCTTCTTGCCCCAGAAATATGCAAATAAGGCTAAGCGTGGAATATCATAGAATCCTAGAATACTAGGACTGGAAGGGACCTCGAGAGTCATTGCGTCCAGTCTCCTGCCCTCATGGCAGGACCAAATACTGTCTAGACCGTCCCTGACAGACATTTATCTAACCTACTCGTAAATATCTGCAGAGATGGGGATTCCACAACCTCCCCAGGCAATTTATTCCAGTGTTTGACCACCCTGACAGTTAGGAACTTTTTCCTACTGTCCAACCTAAACCTCCCTTGCTGCAGTTTAAGCCCATTGCTTCTTGTTCTATCCCCAGAGGCCAAGATGAACAAGTTTTCTCCCTCCTCCTTATGACACCCTATATACTACACTGATTATTTTCAGGAAGAACGGCACTGCACAAGAGGGTTTTTCTTGCGCTAGAAGGAGCAGTGTAGACGCTCCTTCTGGAGCAAGAGCCTCTTCTGCAAAAATGGCCGCTCATTAGGTATGCAAATGAGTCTCGGCGATATTCCACGCTTAGCCTCATTTGCATATCTCTGGCGCAAGAAGCCGCCAGTGTAGACATAGCCCCTGTGTCCCGCACACAAGCGTCACGGCACGTGGCGTGGGAAAGCCAGTTCTGTCCGCTGACGCTGCTCCGTGCCTTGCCGAGTCCTAAGGCGAATCCCCCGGCCCCTTTCCTTGGCTCATTGTACAGCCGGGATGGGCCATCCACCAGGCCAGGCAGGCTGATGCCAGTCTGTCCGGGGGTGTCGCTCAGCAACGCGGCCAAGTTTGCAAACGCAGCTACCACTCCCCAGCCAAAGGTGAGACAAACCTGGGAAGAAGATCCCCGAGCCTGGCAGATCCTGACACTTGGACAGACCCTTACGTGCCCTATGGGGTCAGATTCCTGGCAATTCTATAATTGTGTCTCCCCTGTTCCGGGAGCTGCTGCCGACCCTCAGACCTTCCTCTGATCTGCTCCCCTGGTCTGGCCTCTAGCCAGAGGCTGGGACCTGGAGGGGTGGGGGTGCCACCCGTGCTGAATTCGGCAGCCTGTTGAGCGGCCCCATAGCTGCTTGGGTAGCGGCCGGGCAGGGGAGCATGGGGGCGGGGCAGCGGCGCCAGCACGAGCCTCGGGCTTTCTCGTTAAGACCTACAGAACTCGCGGCACCACATGGAGAGTCTCAACAAGACCGTGGGGACGCTGACTCATTACCAGGGCGAGCTGGGCCTGGCGCTGAGAGGCCGCAAGGAGAGCGCGCTCTCCCTCCTGGACGATCCGCGCTGCACATCCTGTGCCAGGGCGCTGGACAAAGCCCAGCAGCTGGAGCTGGGAGCCGACTACAGGAGGGTGAGTGCAGGCGAGTCTGAGGGGGCGACGGGTCTCTCTGGTCCCTCTGTGTCCACTCCCTCAGCCCGCCCCCCCCCGCCACGCCCGCTGGCTCCCTGCCGAGCCGGAGAGGGGAGCTCAGCCCGTCAGGGAACGATGGTTTCTTCTCGCAGGTTCCTTCGGTGGAAAAGGTTTTGAAGACGCTGCACAGTCTCCCCAAGGCGAACTTCCCAGACTTGATCCGCCAGGTAGGCGACCGGCGAGGCCTGGGCCTGATCTGCCAACTGGAAAGCTGCTCCGGTTTGGGGGAGAACACATCTCTTTTTGCTCTTCCAGGGCAACAGCACCTTCAACTCCATCCCAGGCCACACTGTGGGGAAGATGGCCCGGCTCGTGCAGGGTGAGCAAAGCCCTTCCATGGCCAGGGGCGTGTTGCGCTTCCGAACTCTGGGCCTGGGAGCTACAAAACCCCATTGCCGTTGAGTCCTGAGAACTGCCTCTTGCCTTTCTACGAACACAGCCTGTCTGCAGAGCCAGCAGCCATTTTGTTCCCAGTGTGGCTGCAGACTGGTAGGACAGGCACCCCCGGTGCTCTTGGGGACTTTACTTCTGTTCTTTCTTGCTCGGTTGTTTCCTTAAATCTGTGCACCGGCCAGGCACCGGGGCCCACGTTCTCCAAGGAATTTAGCCACCAGGTCATATAAACATAGAATCGTAGAGCTGGAAGGGACCTCAGGAGGTCATCAAGTCCAGCCCCCTGCCCAAGGCAGGACCAATCCCAACTAAATCAACCCAGCCAGGGCTTTGTCAAGCCGAGACTTAAAAACCTCTAGGGATGGAGATTCCACCAGCTCCCTATGTAACCCATCCCAGTGCTTCACCACCCTCCTAGGGAAATAGTTTTTTCTAATGTCCAACCTAGACCACCCCCACTGTAACTTGAGCCCATTGCTCCTTGTTCTGCCATCCATCACCACTGTGAACAGCCTCTCTCCATCCTCTTTGGAATCTCCCTTCAGGAAGTTGAAGGCTGCTCTCAAATCCCCCCTCACTCTCCTCTTCTGCAGACTAAACAAACCCCAGTCCCTCAGGGTATGTCTACACTTGCACCCTAGTTTGAACTAGGGATGCAAATGCAGGCATTCGAAATAGTCAATGAGGTGGGGATTTAAATATCCCACGCTTTGTTAGCATGATCTCGCTGGTGCGCTAGTCTGAATCACAGCTGATTCGAACCAGGTAGTACGCACCGGAACGTGTTAGTTCGAACCAAACCCATTGGTTCGAACTCACATTACTCCAGGGTAGACATACCCTCAGTCTCTCCTCATAGGTCATGCGCTCCAGCCCCCTAATCATTTTGGTTGCCCTCCACTGGACCCTCTCCAATGCGTCCACATCCTTTCTATAGTGGGGGGCCCAGAACTGGACACGGTACTCCAGGTGTGGCCTCACCAGAGCCAAATAAAAGGGAAAGTCCCACTGATTCCAGTGGCAGTTGGGCACCTTTGAGCCTGTGGGCCTGGGAAATTATCCTGCTTGTGTCCAATGGAGCCGAAAGAAACAAGCAAGTCTTTATACGGGGGTCACGAACCCCTGGAAATAGGAGCAAGTAGCAGCAATACTGAAGGGCAGTAAATCTTAAGGAAGTAAAGGACTCAGCCAAAGAGCCACAGCAGAGACCAGCTCCCCGCGGTGCTTGGTGCAGGCACGGTAGGAGACAGTCGAAATAGGCCAGACCACGTGGGAGGGTAAGAGACTGACTCAAGGTCACCCAGCACATCAGTTGCAAAGCTGGGAGTTGCACTTATCCTGAAACGCGGGCCAAGGTCCTATCCATTGCAGAGGCCTCAGCCTGGGGTAATGGGAGTCTCGGCGTGTGCGTCTACACTGCAGCGTAACAACCAGCCTCGGGCTGAGGCTTGAGCCCAACCCCCCCTACAGTCCACACAAGGCAAATGGCTCTGGCACAGGCCAGCAAACGTACAGGACTTGGGTCCTATGCGCCATCTGAGCCCGAGAGCTGGGTCCGTACCTGCGACATGGGTCCGAGCACCATGATCTGGCAGAGGTTGGGGTCAGGGTGTGTTTCCAGCACCGGGTGAGGGGCAGGCTCCTCTAGGACTCTGGCACAGGTGGGGTGAGAGGCCCCGTGCCCCCCAGAGGACGGATGTATTTTGTGACTGGGCCTGTAAGATCAAGCTTCTTTGGGCCACAGAGAAGGACCAACGCTTGCCTGCTCCCCCTCCATGCCAGCTGCAGGGCTAGTCCCTCCTGCCTCCCCCCTCTCACCTTGCAGAGCTAAAGGACGAAGTGAACCAGGCCAGCGGGAAACTTCAGTCTCTGGCAGACAGCTTCCCCGTGGCCAGGCACACGCAGCCCCTGACGGACGCCCTGATGCAGGCAGAGCAGAGGAGCCGCCCTTACCTTCAGGAGGTGACACGCTATGAAAGATACAGGTAACGGCGAGGAGCTGCAGCTGTTTGAATCTAGGAGCCTGATCTGAGGCTCACCCCAGTGGGACTCAGGATTCAGGCAGGTTACACCTGTATAAAACCAGGGGAAGGGAAATCAGAGGCAGCGTAGCGATTTTCCTGGTTCAGCCTCTGGGAATGGTCCTATCCCCTGTGTCAACCTCCCACTTCTTACCATTGGAGCTAAGGGAGCCACTCTATTAGCTGGAAGCAGTAGTAGGCTGTTATCCTTTGCTGGCCCACCACTCGCAGAAGTTCCACACACATTGTCAGTGTATCGTGCTTCTTTAAGGGGTCCACAGTGTCTCATATCAGCACTGGCTGCTCCTGGGTCGAAGCCCTCTGGCTGCTGAGAGTTCACTGAGGCTGGAAACCTTCCCGGTGGTCACTCGACTTCTTGCCAAGAGGCCCTGGGTGGCTCTGCGGCCGTGTCAGTGCCCTAACGTCCAGGGGCGCTCGGTTCCGATCCAGGGCAGGCAGGTGCATGGCTCCAGTCTGCCCCCCTGGGAGGGAGGCTTTTGACTTCCTGCCTCTGCTACCAGCAACTGAGGGCTCGGGCCTGAGGATGAATTTAGGGTGGGGGGTGAGGCAGAAGAGGGGACTCGCTCTTTACCTGACCCCTCTGCCTCTTCTCTCCGCAGGTGGATTGTGGGCATCCTGCTGTGCTCCGTGGTGCTGCTGGTGGTGGTCTGCAACCTCCTGGGCCTGTCCCTCGGGATGTGGGGGCTCGCCAGGCGGGAGGATCCCAGCGACTACGAATGCAGAGGAGCGGCTGGGGCCAAACTCCTCTTGGTGTAAGGGCTGTGGCTGGGCTGGCGGGGTGGGGGCAAGTTCCGGGGGGAGGGGGGCGAGACTCTCTGTGGTGTGGGTGGCCGGTGCTCTGCAGCCGGCCAGACTAGCTGATCTCTGGTCCCCGCAGTGAGGGGACACAGCATGGGGAGTGGCCGGTACCCCGCCCCCCCTCAGCGGGAGGCTCTCCATGGGGAGGTGGCACTTTAAAGGGCGGAGGTGCCTGGTGACACGCAAAGTGGGGAGGGGGCGGGATCCTCTGGCTGGGTGGCAAGCTGCCGTCAGGCAGGTGCCTCAGGGCCTGGTGATTCCAAAGGGCGGGGGGGCTCCCGTCACTGTCGCCATGGCGCCCGCAGCCCCGGGCCCTTTAAATTGCTGCCGGGGCGAGGGCCGTTAGCTGGCGGGTGACTGACCAGTCATGTGACCGCACCAAATCTTTGCAGTTACACGACTGTTCGATAGTCCTGGGCGGACCCCGCCGTCAGGCAGGTGCCTCAGGGCCTGGTGATTCCAAAGGGCGGGGGGGCTCCCGTCACTGTCGCCATGGCGCCCGCAGCCCCGGGCCCTTTAAATTGCTGCCGGGGCGAGGGCCGTTAGCTGGCGGGTGACTGACCAGTCATGTGACCGCACCAAATCTTTGCAGTTACACGACTGTTCGATAGTCCTGGGCGGACCCCGCTACTGTCTCGGAGGCAGCAGTGCAAGGTGCCAGGCACAAGCTGGTCCGTGAAGGGAGCCAGGTTAAAACCAAGGTCCCTGGGACAGAGGCAGCTCTGGGAGATGCTACTCACGTCCAGCTGCCTTGGCCCAGGGCCACCGTCGCTGTGCAGATCTGCCCTGAGACGCGTGGACGCTAACCCGCCCGGCGTGTCTGCAGCCAGTGCCTCCCCGTGCAGGCGAGGAAGCGTAGAGCGGGGTCCGTGCAGCTGAGGAGACATGCTGCCAACCCCAGGGGCTGCAAAGAGAAGCCGGGCAGCTCCCAGCTTGCCCCCTTGTAACGCGGCTCCTTCTCTCACAGCGGCGTTGGCTTCAGCTTCCTCTTCTCCGGGCTCCTGGTTCTCCTGGTCTTCGCCACGTTCCTGGTGGGGGGCAACGTGCAGACGCTGCTGTGTAAGAACTGGGCCAATCGGGAGATTTACAAGGTGGGTCCCTGCTTCCAGGGGGTGCGGGTACAGGCTAGGGCACAGTTAGCTCCCCAGGCAGGAGAACCAGCTTGGGCAAGCCGGGCACCTTGGCTGCACCCACTGGCCCAGGGCTGAGTCACACGCTCGCTCCTTGTCACATGCATTGTGGTGATTGCTGTGTGCCCCCTGCACAGGCTCACACACACGCAGTGACTGCTGCGCACGCTCACAGGCTGTCTGGAGAACACTTCCGAACAAGCTTCAACTTAGCCAGCTCAAATCACACACCCCTTCACACACGCCTGCATGCTCCCTACTACACACGTACACACTCTTGCCACATTCCCCGCTGCACGCTCAGGACACGCATACACCTCAGCTCTCACACGCGCATTGCAGTGCATGTCACACACTCATGTTCTCTAGCACAATCACAGAGGTGTGGTCTGGTTTTCGTTTATCATTGCCCCGTGGCTGCTATACTGGCCCGGTGTACTGGGGCCATAAAGCAGTCAGATCTAGTCCTTGCGGGGGCAGTACTGGGGATGGGGGAGGCGCTGGGGTTACAATCCTCACACGGGGGACGGAACCGTTCGCACAAGTGTGGATAAGTGTGAATCAGGACATGAATGACTCTGCTTGGCAGGTAGCAACTTGCCGGCAACTGACAACTCAACTGAAAGCCTTTTGCTTCATTGTAAAAACTTCTCTTCTCCGTTACCACAGTAATTAGCGGAGGGTACGTCTCCAGCACAGCCAGAGGTGGGCCTGCGGCATCCGGAGAGATCCCTATGCTAGCTTTGATCTGGCCAGCTCAAATAACAGGATCCGTGAAGGCAGGGCAGGGCAGGCTGTACAAAGCCACCCGGCACCACGAGTATTTCTATGGTGATTTGAGATGGCTAAGTTCAAGCTTGTTCGGAAGTGTCCTCCAGCCAGCCTGAGAGGGTGCGCAGCAGTCGCTGTGTGCGTGTGTGCGCGCGTGTGTCTAAACTACATGGCTCCGTCGACAGAGCCATGTAGATTAAGCAGGACGACAAAGGGAAATGAAGGGGCGATTTAAATAATTGCTGCTTCATTTAAATCAAATGGCCGCCGCGCTGTGCCAATCAGCTGTTTGTCGGCTCAGCGCGGCAGTCTAGACGGGGATCTGCCAACCCCAGAGCCCTTTGTCGGCAGATCCTTTATGCCTCCATCTGCCGACGAAGGGCTCTGGGGTCGGCAGATCCCCCGTCTAGGCTGGGAAAATTTAAATTGCCGCTTCATTTAAATTTACATGGCTGCCGCGCTGAGCCGACAAACAGCTGATTGGCACAGCGCGGCGGCCATTTTGATGTAAATGAAGCAACGATTATTTAAATCGCCCCTTCATTTCCCTTTGCCGAGTAAACTCATCTACATGGCTCCGTCGACAGAGCCATGTAGTTTAGACGTACCTTGTGAGTCGGCAGCAGTAACTGCGTCCGTGTGTGAGCGTGTGCAGAAGTAAATGTGTGTGTGAGTATGCGCAGCAGTAACTGCGTGTGTGTCAGCGTGCAGGGGTATGAAAACGCCTCCCGTGCCACGACACGACGGAAGATCCGTGACACGCCTGCTCCACTCCGTGTCCAGCCAGCAGAACGGCCCATTTCCCTCTCCGAGGCCTCCGACTTGGCCCCTGAGGCATCTCTCAGTTGCCGATCACACTGGCATCCCCTCTGCCTCCCGAGGGGCTGGTGAAAGGAGCCAGAGGACACGAGGACGTGGCCTGTTGTGACACGCACGGCCCTGAGCAGAGGCGCACCACAGCCACGTTTAGCTGCAAATCGATTCAAAGCCCCCCCCTTCATGAATCGCTGCGGAGGCCACTGAGAGCAGCAGAGCTCCCCAGGGGTGACTTTGGCCCAGAACCCCTTGGAGACGGGTCCCTGTGCTGAGAGCATCAGTCCCGTCACCTCGCCCTGCGCTGCAGTGGCCTGCGTGTCCTCGCACTCGCCGCACGGGGCAGAAGGATCCGGCGAGGCCCCCGGCCGCCCCTTTGCCTTGCTTCACCGCTGGGATCACCCCAGCGTGTCCGCTACACCCCATCGCACGACAGCGAGCGTTTGATTGTCACCGCAGCCCCTGCTCCCCTTGGCAGCGCTCCTTTTCCTGCCCAGCGGCCAGCTCCCACGCCGGTTAAAGGGCCCAGGGCTCCCAGCGCAGGGAAGAGGCTCAGAGGGAGGGAATCCGGGACCACGTGTCGACCTGCCATGGACCGTTGTAGTGACCAGGAGACATCCCCGTGCGTCCACGAGAGCAGGGGAGGAAGGGCCAGGGGCTAGTGCTAAGGCAGGGGGCAGTGCTGTGGAAGTACCGGCTACCCCAGGGGGATTGCTGTGACATTAAGGCACCCAGGGGGAGGAATGTGGTAGTATTGGTAGTACTGGTAGTATTGGGTACTGTGGGGTGTCATATAAGTTCCCCAGGGCTTTGTGCTATGGTGGACTGGGTACTCCAAAGAGTGGTGCTGTGGTATTAGGGTTCCCGAGGGTGTAGTACTAAGTGGGTACCCCAGGGTGTAGTGCTATGGCTGTACTGGGTACCCCAGGGTGTAGTGCTGTGGCTGTACAGGGTACCCCAGGGTATAGTGTGGTGGCAGTACCGGGTACCCCAGGGTGTAGCGCAGTGGTAGTATTGGGTACACCAGGGTGTAGTGCCAGGGTGAGTATTTCAGGGTGTAAGGCTGTGGCTGTACTGGGTATCCCAGGTGTGGGGCTGTGGCTGTACCACATACCAGCAGAACCCAAAACAGCACTTGCGAGGGTCAGTCCATGGGCCAGAGGCCACTGGGGGGCATTTGCCAGGACCCCTGTATCAGGGTGCTCAGCCTGGTGCAAATGTGGGAGCCAGAGGGCAGCGCACAGGACGTGTGTGCTGGGGTAGGACGCTGGGCGTGGCCTGTGGCGTATGATGTGGGGAGGGGGGGGGCCGAGCTACCCCACGGCTCTGGGGGCCATTCCGTGTGGAACAGGGATGTGGGGGCTGCGAGGTAAATTAGCCCCTAGTACTGCAGGTGGGGGTCACCTTCGGCCCAGAGACCAGCCCAGAGGGGGCGCAAGAAGAATCCCCTTTAGAGTCGGGGGTTTGTGGGTTACAGCAGTGTCAGGATTAGCCCCAGCTGGTGCAGGTCACAGTGGCCTTGTGCCCAGGTACAGGGGCAGGGGACGAGGTCCAAGAAATTGTCCATGATCCGAGAGCTGGGGTGAGGGGTTGCCCCGGAGACGGGGATCCCTAAAGGCCTGGACGTTGAAGCCCATCCGCTCCTTGCTTTCCGAAGCCCCTCGCGCCTTTCTCCGCCAGCCCCCCGGCGCCCTCCTCCGCCGGCCCCGGCGCTCTCCTCCGCCGGCCTTTCTCCCTCAGCGCCTTTCTCTGTGCGTTGCTCCAGCCAGTTCCCTGAGGTAGAACCACTTCCCTTCACCGCTTCCTTCTCCCTCCCTCCCCACTGCGGGGACCAGCACAGCTGTGCTCCCCCTCTGCTCCAGCAGACCCCACCAGGGACCCTCCTCATGTCTCCTCTCTCCCCCCGCTGTCCAGTTCATCGACACTCCGGGGAACCTGCCTCCATCCATGAACATCACCCAGCAACTCGGCCTGAAGAGGAACCTTAACCTAAGCTCTGCTTACCAGTGAGTACTCGGCTCTGGAGCCTTCCGGCTGCTTCCTATCCAACTGGCCTCAGTTAGGAAACCTCCCCCTCCCCCCGGATTTTCCAGAGTCCCACCCCTGTGAATGGGGCAGGTGAAAATGTTCCCGCAAAACTCTTTTGACTGAAAATTGGGCCTTTGGCTCAATTGGCATTTTTCCGGGAAGCAGCAGCAGCAGCGTCCTCGAAACATCTGGATATTTTTCCAACCCAACATCAGACGTTTTCAGCCCAGGCCTAAAACGTTTCTGGTTTTTACCCAGGGGATTTTTCTGATTTTTACCCAGGGGCAGCTGGAGGTTTTCTGGTTTTTACCCAGGGGATTTTTCTGGTTTTTACCCGGGGGTGGCTGGGGGTTTTCTGGTTTTTACCCAGGGGATTTTTCTGGTTTTTACCCGGGGGTGGCTGGGGGTTTTCTGGTTTTTACCCAGGGGATTTTTCTGGTTTTTACCCGGGGGTGGCTGGGGGTTTTCTGGTTTTTACCCAGGGGATTTTTCTGGTTTTTACCCGGGGGTGGCTGGGGGTTTTCTGGTTTTTACCCAGGGGATTTTTCTGGTTTTTACCCGGGGGTGGCTGGGGGTTTTCTGGTTTTTACCCAGGGGATTTTTCTTTGTTTTACCTGTGGGTGGCTGGGATTTCTTTGGTTTTCAATTTTTCATCAACATTTTTCAGGGGGAAAAATATTCATTTTCCAGCCAGCTCATATTCTGGGGGCACCAGGAGGCCTTTCACTGAGGCGCCTGCATATGTATTAAGTGTCTAACAGTCGAACGCTGGCTCCGTTCCCACTTGGGCTGCCTGTCTTACAAGTGAAGGCCAAAGCTGGGCCAGCCTCACAGACCTGAGAACACCTCAGACGTGTAGTTCAGTGGCCTGTGACCTCCAGCCCGCCAGGCCCGTCTAACTTCCTTTGAAACCTCCCCACCTTGCTGCTGACACCGGGGACTTGCTGGGATGGCCCCTTGCAGCTTCCCTGGCTTTGGGGTTATGGTGGCAGAGCTGCTGGTTGGCGCTTCTGTTACCACACAGGCGCCAGCGTGCAGGGCTGGCTGGAAGCAATTCCTCCTAGCCCTGACAGGGCAGCGCTGGCCGGCCGGCTGCACGCCGGGGCGGGAGATTGATGTTCTTGATGCAGCCTGGTTTCACCTCCCCCCCTCCGCCCAGGAATCTCCAGGTCTTACGAGACCGTCCGTGTCTAATGGAGGAAAGGGGACCCAAAGACACCTAAAAACAGGGGTCCCTAGAGGGCTGGATGTTGAATGACCCCTCTGAGGCTTGTCACCAAAGACGTGCAGCATCTCATCTGGTGGGAAGGCTCCTGTGGTGTGACCTGGGGGCTGCTAGGTGCCCCGCCGGACTCGGGCCGCTAGGGAGGAGTGTGGGGCTGCAGAGCCACGCACGGGCCTTACGCCCCTCCCCTCATGGAGCTCTGCCGGGGGGCCTCCTTTCTGCCTCCCCCACCCCCCCGGCCAGGCTGACTCCTTCCCCCTCTCTCTGCTCCAGGAGGTGCAAGAAGAGCGCAGGCCTCTGGGAAGTTCTGCAGCTCACAGACCCCTACAGTCTCGAGGATCATCTCCACGTCTCCCAGGTGATCGGGGGCTCGTCTCGCGGGGGCACCAGGCCTGCCCCCCCCTTGCCAGCCCAGGCAAGGAGGGGAGTTAACCTTCCACGTTCAGACAGTCCCATGCTGGCCCCTGCGCCAGACCTGCCCGCTCACCGGGAGATTCCGTCTTTACACTGATTCTCCAAGGGACCCAGTCCCTGGCTTCTCTTTCCCGGTTAATCCAGTCCCCGTGTTTCACCCAGCCCTGGGGGTCCTCTGGTGCTGCCCTCCCTGGCCTGGGGGGAGCCACCCTGTGCTAGCATAGGGAAGGCTCTTCGTCCCTTCTGGGCTCGCAGGGGAGGCTGTGCTGAGAAGGGAAGTCGGCCTTGCGGCTGTGCGCTCAGAAAGCTCCATGCCACTTCCCCCCGGAGGGAGGTTTCAAGGGCAGGGGGCCTAGGATGCCTGGGGAGCCCACTACGCTTGTGACAGTGCCACGCCCCAGCCACGGGGCCCGCGTGTCCATCACAGCCCTGGCGAGGAAGCTTTTGCTCTGCAGGTGCCTGGGATAGTCCCTGTGTCAGCCCGGCCAGCCCCAAGCCCCTAACCCTGGCAAAATAGCAGGAGGCTAATTGCTCTGGCATGCAAAACAGGCCCTGTCTGCGCCGATTCCCCATTTCTGCAGGGTCCTCAGTATCGCAGAGAATCCCAGGGAGTCCTCAGAATCGCAGAGACCTCAGGAGTCATCCAGTCCCGCCCCCTGCCCAAAGCAGGACCAACCCCAACTCCATCATCCCAGCCAGGGCTGTGTCAAGCCAGGACTTAAACACCTCTAGGGGTGGAGATTCCACCACCTCCCTAGGGAACCCGTCCCAGGGCTTCCTCAGCCTCCTAGGGAAATAGGTTTTCTTAATATTCAACCTGGACCTCCCCCACTGCAACTTGAGCCCATTGCTCCTCGTTCTGCCACCTGCCCCCACTGAGAACAGCCTCTCGCCAGCCTCTTGGGGGTCCTCCTGCAGGGAACTGGAGGCTGCTCTCAAATCCCCCCTCGCTCTTCTCTTCTGCAGACTAAACAAGCCCAAATCCCTCCGCCTCTCCTCAGAGGTCATGTGCTCCAGCCCCTGAATCATTTTGGTCGCCCTCCGCTGGACTCTCTCCAATTTTTTTAAAACCATTAAATTCACCCCCTGGTTGTGGGGGAATGAAGCAGGAATCTGGGGCTGAGGCAAGCGGGGGGGTGGCGGGGGCTCTAGGATGCTGGGCGAAGCATCATTGAGGTGCTAAAATTGCTTGTAGAGTGGCAGATTTTGGTCTGGAGCCGTCTGATTTGCCTTTTCCGGGCAGGCTGGCTTAGATGCCGTTCCGCGGCTGGGTGAAGTCAGAGTATCTGGTCGTCACCCATCCTAGCAGGAACTAGGGCGGGATCCAAGTCAGGCAAGTCCTCTCTGGGCGGTGGGTCAGGACCCTAGCGGGGCGCAGCCCCCCTAGGGCTGTGGTCATGGCCCCGCCTTGCCCTCAGTATGCCAGAGACTTCCAGAAGCGCCTTGAGAACTTCAACGTCCAGTTTGATGAAATCTACCTCCTGGACGGGGCCGGGCGGCAGGACCTGGAGACCTTCCGGCAGAGCGGGCTGGACCAGCTGGACTACCCCGCGTTCCGGGCAGAGGTGAGGGGGCGTCCGAGCAAAGCTACTGCCCGGGGGGTGACATCACGTAAGGGTCGCCCTCTCCACTGGCCTCCTCTGCAGGAGCCCTTCCCCCCGCCACGGCTGGGAATTGAGCCTGGTTGATTGTACCGTTCCAGCTCGGCTCCCCACCTTGCAGATCCCAGCTCCGTTCCCAACCTCCCCTTGTCCTGACAGAGGCGTCTGCTGCCTGCACAGGCCCCTTGCCCTATTCCCCCTGCCTCTGAGCACGTCTCTCTCCTGGATAAGGCTTGTCAGCACATGCCCACCCCCTTCGTCTGTTCTCCAGCCTGCTCCCTTCCCCACCACAGCCCCAGCAGACACCCACCCCCATCCTGCCCTCCTGTCCTTCCTCGCCCCCACTCTCTCCGACAGATCCTGCACACCTAGCACGAGCCAGAGAAATAGCCTTCTCCCCAGCTACAGGGAAACTGAGGCACACAGTGGCACTGTGATTGGGCAGTGGCCTGGGGCTCAGAGACCAGAGTTCAATTTCTTGGCCAACCGCAGACTCCTTTGGGTAAATCACGTCACCTGTCCCATCGTCAGCCCTTCATCTGCATGGGGCTCATAATCCCTCTCCACCTTGCAGGGCCCTTTGGGAGGGTGACGTCCATCAATGATTGTGATGGGGGCAGTATAAATAGCTGGTCAGAGTTGCCGAGGACACGCAGGAAGTCACTTGCACAGCCGGGAATAGAACCTAGGCGGCCTGGCCCATGTTCCCTCTAAGCTTTACCACCCATGTATGGATTTTTTCCCATCCATGTGCAGAATAAATATTATGTGCACAAGGCATGTGCGAATGTGCACCACCTGTAAAACCTAAACATCCAGCTGTGGGTGCTTGGTTAAACAGCTGGGCAGCCTTTTGAATTTCTCCTGAGCAGCAGCACAGCTTACTGGGAACACTGGTCCTGACCCCTCCCCAACACTCCCCCTCATGGCTCATTGTGGGGGAAGGGATCCCCGTGTCCTTGGCCCACATTCGGCCCTGGGTTCTCCTGAGCATTGAGGCCCATGGGGCAGCGTGGCTAGAACTGAAATCCGGACTCAGCCGGGGCTCGGTGGGTAGCGTGCGGGTCTGCAGTTCATAATGTGCACCCAGTACTCCCCGATCCGGGGCTGGAGAGGCCAGGCAGTGACTGCGAATGCGGCTGGCTCTTTTCTCCAGATGCAGAACCCAGTGGTGAGGACAAGCCTGGACGACCTAGCCAAGGATCTCGAGGGCCTCCAAAAGATTCAGGTGAGTGGAGTCGACCCGGAGGGAAAGGAAGCAGGGTCCTTCGCAGCATGGGGGAGGGGACACACACGTGTAACCCCTGTAGATCCTGGTCATCTGCAGGCAGAATCAAACCTGGGACCTCTGGAGCATAGCTCATGACCCTGCACTGCAAGAGCTAACAGCCAGCTGGCTGGGGGCCAAGGCTGTAGCGCAGCCGCCTCAGTGTCTCTGCACAGTCTCGGGGCCACGGCTGGGACAGTCCCACGCCCAGCAGGCGTGTGGATTACATCTGCCTTTGCCCGCTGCTGCCCAGCGGCGCCCGCGCGTTCCAGCCGGGAAAGCCGTCCTGACTCTGGTCTCCCTGCTCCCCCCGCAGAACAACAGCACCATGGCCGCGCGGCTGGCCAGCGAGGCCCAGGCCCTGCGGAAAATCCAGAACACCACCGTGCTCACCCAGGACGCCCTTGTGGTGAGTGCGGGCGGGCTGTGGAGCGTTGGGGGGCCCCCTCCACGGCCCAGGCCTGGCCCAGCGCGATGCCTCTTGGGGAAGGGCTCAGGGCAGCAGGGGAGGCCCCCGCTGGGGCAGCTCTGACAGCACCAAGGGGCGGGGGGAAGGGAGGGCTCTGAGCCTGGGCGCTGGAGGCAGCGGAAGGGCGGGGGCCCCAGACTAGCTGACCCGGGGGAGGTTTTCTGATCCCACATTGGGGCTGGGGGAGGAAGAGTGGCTGAAGCGGGAGGGGCGGGGGTCCAAGGAGTTGCTGGCGCCGGTCTGGTTCCTGACCCTGCGACTGGGCAGGCGCCGCACGGAGGGAACGCAGCGGTGCTGGAACAATGGTG